AGCTAGGAGTAATACAACAAAAGTCTTATTTTAGTAAGAGCATCAGAATGGGAAAGGACTAGAGAAAAGTAAATCAGTTAGGAGAAAATTACCTTAATCTAGGCTGAGATAAAGAAATCCTGAACAAGGCTGGCAGGAGAGGAGAAAATAGGTCACTCTTTATAAGAATGGAAGGAACCAGAGATAAATTTGCTCTTTAGGAGTGACATAAGGGGATAGTTGAATACTTGAAATAAAGCTCATCAAAGCAACAGAGACAGTAAAGAATAAAAAGCTTGAACCCACAAGTTACCATCCAAATGAGGACCTTTCTCAGACTGAAAGGACACATTACCAATTACTGCACCAGGACAGCAGGTGCAAACTCGACAGTCTTGGGAAAATGACAATTTATAGCCATCCTACCTGAAAAGAACTTTAACTATCAACAAAGAAGATAACTCCCAGATTCATACAACAAGCCCTAGGTTTCTAAAAGTGGGAACATTAAAAGGAAGTCACCATCAAAGAATAACAGAATGCAGGGTGCCGATGCTGTTTTATTGACTTGCACACTCGAAACCAGAGTGGTTTTGAGAACCAATGTCACTCCAGTAAAATTTTTAAAATATCTAAATATACACTGGTACCTAGCCTAGTGTCTGGCACTTAGTTGCATTCAATGTACATTGACTAAGTCGATAAATAAAGGTATATATATATATATTTTTTTTTTTTGAAAAGCTGCTGTTGAGAGGGAGCGGATCTAGCCAAAGAGGTAACATGGAAACACATCTGGTTCCGTGAAGTTGAATCTGATCTACTGTCACTGTATTTCTCACGGTCCTCTTCTCTTCTATATGTCACACCCCAATTTGGGGCCTCTTTGTCTACAGGATTTTGAGAACAAAGTGCTTTTTAAAAAGTCTTACTTCTTTCAAGTCTAATTTCTGAATATTTATATCCCATGACCATGGATAACAAGGTAAGTTGACAACTGACTGGGGTGTGTTGGGGGGTAGTGGCAGGTGAGGGCCAGGGGTGGGCATGTGGTACAGCATTGACACTGACCAATCAGAGCAGACCAGCTGGCTAGGGGCTGGAATCAGCCTGAACACACCTGAGGTCATGAGGCAAAGGCTGAGCCATGGGAGCTGCTCCCCTGAAAAGGAGAAGAAATTGCTCTGAGACATGAAAGGGGTCTTCATGAATGCAGGGCTGGGTGAGGAAGGAGACAGGAAGCCTCTCAGGCAAATCGATTACCAGTAGGTTCAAGTCCCCAGAAGTAGCCCTAGTGGCAGGAAGTTAGTCAGTTCTCTCTCGAAGTCTTGCTGAGACACAGCGGGGCTGGGTGACTACAATAGGTGAGCCTTGAAGGGATTTCTACCCCTGCTTCTTGGTTTATGGAGCTTCCTCATTTGGTCCATGGTGGTCTGTCCTCTGTTCAGCACTTACATGTTGTGCACTGCTGTCAGGTGTGCAGCTCTTTTCTGCAAGCTCTCAGAGGACATTGGCCCTGCTGGTCAACATTCTTGGCACAGAGCAGGCATTTGAATAATACCTGTTGCATGAGTGAAAGCACATGCCCACATCTGCTTTCTGTGCAACCTTTTTTGTGTGACAATCTTAAGTCCCTTCATTTTCTGTTTTTCCATCCCTTGTGGTCTCTGTCTGCTTTTCTAATGATTTACCATCAGTGACTCACCATAACCCTAGAGAAGATGACCAAGGTTAAGCTTCCAATTTTATCTACATAATCTAATCCTTTCCTTTATTATCTCAAAGGATCATTTTTCTAGACTAGAATAAACATTCAGTTTTTTTAAGCTATTCTTTTCTATACCTGAATGGGTGTTCAAGTGAGAAGTACTAGTTTGTGGAGTCAGGTGGAGCTGGGTTAGTTAGTGCCGAACTTGGGTTAACCCATCTGCACCTCATTTTGCTTATCTGTAAAATGGGGATACTAACAATTATATAAAGTGGTTGAGAAAATATTTTACACATGTTTATACTATCTATTAATAAGGATTAATTATGTTAACATACTGTGAAATGCTTAGTAGGAGCCAAGAACCATGCACTACCTGTGCTAGTGAATTTAATCCTCACAAGAACTTGGTAAAGAAGTTTCTAATATTATCTGTATTGCACCAGGGGCTCAGAGAGATTAAGGAAGTTGCCCAAGGTAACAGAGCCATGAAGTATGAGAAAGCAGAAATTGAAATCCAGGCAGTTGAACTTCAGGATTTATTTCAAGAACAAGTAGTTCTTGAAAAACTATAGTTGCTGTGATTCCGTAGTATTGGTAGAATTTATTGCTTTGTTGTCTTAGATCTCTCTTTTACTATCACTAAAAAAAAATCTACCCCAATTTCATGTGATTCGAAAGATCCTTATGTTTTTGCCCTGAGAATCACAGTATAGTAAGTAAGTAGGTCTGCTTCCAGGAATATGAGGAGAGACAAGGAGAGAACAACAATGTCTGCCTGTGCCCACTCACTGATGACATTTGTTTACTCAAGAAATGTTTGACTTGCATTTGTAGAGCTTAAAGCCCTCTGAGAGTAGAGTATCAATAATATTATTTGAAGTCAAATAATTTTCCACAGTGAGCTTAATTTTTTTCTATGTGTTTTACACTTGATTTTAGCCAAAAGCTCAAGAATCCCTTAATTGTGTGATTTCATATAGCTGTCTAAAACATTAAATTTGGCATTTAGTAATCATCTATTATAAAACTGGGTCTAATTTATGTAGAAGGACTGAGCTGACAGCTGCTCTAAGGGGACATGCTGGTCTGCCCTCACTGTTCTATATTTTATTTATGTGCAGAGTCCTGCAAATGATAATCCCATATTATTAGATTCAGCCAAGACCTACAAAAATATTTTTTATAAGAATGCAAGAAATAGGGATGCTCCATAATTATTAGCAACAAGACCAGAACAAATTATATAAGGGCTAAAAAGGAGGTGGTTTAGAAATGTAACTTTGGATGAGCAACAAAAATAATGCTAAATACTATTCCACTATGTCATCCCAGCAAGTTCTGTTCTTGTTCACTGAAGGACTAGACTTGCAGAAAATAGTTCCTGGGTAAATAAAGCAAAATACTCCTAAACTTATGCAGCATTTGTCTTTGGTGATGAGAGAATAACAGGTTAAGTATTGCAGGTAAGTAAAATCCTCCACTTCAGATGCTGAGTGTGCTCTGAAACATTTCTGGTTTGAAGAAAGCTCTAGGCTTCTACTGTGATGGACAGGTAAGGCTGCCTTCTTCACTTTCTCATTGGTGCATCGTTTTCTTCCAGTTTTCAGGTGTCTGGTAATTTATACATTTGGGACTAAATTATTATGTAGCAGCCAAAGAGAAAATAGCAATTATTATTTTCATTGCAGAATAGAAAAGGTAGTGCAGCTTCCTCCAGAGAGTTTCAGTTGCTGGAAATTCTAGAAGAAAGGGTGCCAGCACTAGCCTCATATCCTTGAAAAATGCCCACACCTGCTTAGCTGAAGCAGGCCCAGTAACTTGTCGTTGAGGGGTGCCACACGCTGAAATAATTATGGAGAGGACCACAGCCACATGGAGGAGTGAGGTCCCGTGTCACAGGGTGTACCTCAATTTGTGAAATATGTTTGTGACATGGCCTGAGTCAGCCAGGGCAGTCAAAGTGGTTCCTCCACAATCTTCACCTGTACCATCAGTCATTAAACATGGGCCTCTTTATCCAGATCTCCAAGGACAGTGACAAATGACAGGATGTAAAGCCTGGACCATGTGTGTCTTAGAGACCAAAAAGCAGCCCTCAGATGTTAACTCCTTTCTGTTTCTCATGGGAATATTGGGGTTGAGAAGTATGGAATTGCATTACCATCTACAGTCCCCATCTTAACCAACGCCCCCACCCCCAGCCTGCATCCCATAAAACTGAGGACATGTTTTGAAAATTTCCTCTGTGAGCACTGTGTTCAGGGCAACTCAGAATTCAGAGCCCAGATTCTTCGGGAGAAGGTAAACACAATTATCTTGTTCAGGGTCACACTTATAAATTATTCTTTATACTATTCCTAGAAAGAATAACTTTGCTTTAAGACACAGGGCACTCCCTGGTTATAATCCAGACCTCTACGAAAGCTTTCCTCAACTGGTAATTACTGAGTGATAGAAGACTATTTAAAAAAGATTTAAGACACTGGTTCTCCTCCTCTGCAGAAAGGAATTGAACTAGAGCAGTTATTTGTTTTTTGCAGCTTTAAAATTCAGGAATGCCATAACTTCCAGATTCAAAGAATGACCCTCTGCAAATTCGAGCAAAGCACATGCTGTAGACACACATTCCACAGCAAGCCTTTGGGACAATAGGATGTGCAGAGTCACACACTGCTCCATGTGCCCTGTGTCTCCTCATGGAAGGCATTTAAACACAAAGCACGCTAACCTACAGAGGGGAAAAATGAATTGTCCCCCCACTTCTATGTTTCTTCCTTCAGAAGAACACCCATAATTCTATAACTGGCTACTTTTATTCTGCCTCTGTTGAGTTGACTCATTTGCATCACTCAGATTTGAAAACTTTGCTAATAACCATGCTGTAGGCTACCTAGCAGTATAAAAAAAATTTTACACAGCTCTTAAATTAATCACCGGTGAATTGCATCCCACTGCTCCTGCATACGATGCTAAAAGGAGAAGCTTTAGTTCCAGGTCATAATTCACGTGGTACAGCAGCATCCTTCCCGCCCAGCATCCACTAAGGAAAATACTGCAAATACTGACCGTATCTACTGCAAAGAGAATCCCATTCAACACGGGTCTGAAGGGAAAGTTGACACATTATTAAAAGTACGGAAAGCTAGACTCGCACCCACTGCATTCTCTCAGTGAGCTCAACCAACGAACCGGGAGCATACGTATACTTTAGGTGACCAGGAGAGTGTACAGATTCACACAGATCACCATACTCAAACCACCCCTTCATCCAACTAAAAGCCGTGCAGGGCATAAAAGTTGCAGCACTTACCCAGCGTAGCGGTTGCTGTAAAGGTGGCTGTGCCCTGGTTGCAGAATGTTCCAAATGAGCAAGCAAATAGGCAGAGAAACAGCTGTCTGGCTCCTGGGCTTCCCGAGGAACTTCATAGTGTTACAGTGTAAGGAGCTGAAAGTTAGTTAGTTCCAGCAGCCAGTCACCGGAGGCTGGAGGTGGCTCACAGCACCCCCTCCATATGCTCAGGGTCTCTGGGAGGGGGTGGGAGAGAAGGGTTGGGAGTGAACAAAATGTGACACTTCTTTCCAGCCACAGGATAAAAAAAAAGTTTAAGCAGCTGAGGGAGGAAAGTTGCTCTTTAGACTTGGTCTTGGGACTAGAAGCAGCAGCACACACAGCGCAGCCCAGCCCAGCCGAGCCCAGTCGCTGAGCCGGATCCTTCCCGGGGCTCTCCTGGAAGGGGCTGGGCCTCCCCTGAGCTGACTCACCGCAGGGGGTTGCTGGGTGCTGCTTCCTTTGGGTAACTCCTGTTTTTATTTTTTGTTATTGTTTTTGATTTTTGCTTTCCAACTTTAAGTTCCTAACTTTTTTGGCTAACCTTTCTCCTATTACCTTTGCCAGCAGAGGACCCTAACCTAATTGCAAGCGATTTGTTTGAGGATGAGCTAAATATGCAGGCCTAGGACATCCCGGGCTTAAGGTTTTGATCTACCACAACAAATTTCTTCACGAATTCCACACCCTAAAGTGCACAGGGAAGGGCCTTGATGAGTATGGACGCAGAAGTAAGCTGGGGGATGTGGGCATGAACAGCCAGCCTTGGTGTGCGTGCTTGTCTGTAGCACAAAGGGGCAACTGCTTTCCTGTGATTCCCTGTAGTCATTCCACAGCATCAGCACCCAGACCTGCGGCTATTTCCAAGATTCTCTTGGGGAACAGGAGGCCTCCAAGTGCTTGCCCACGTTCTCTGCACATTTGGAATCACTTAGGGAGCCAGACTATTTAAATCAGAATTCCTGAGGGTGGGATCATTAATTTAAAAAGATCCTCAGGTGTTCCAATGTTCAGCCACCATGCTGGTCTTGAGTGCGCTTCTCAAACTTCAACATGCATGCAAATCACCTGGAGCTTGTTATATTGCAGCTTCTGATGCAGTAGGTTGGGGCTGGGGCCTGGGATTCTGCATTTCTAACAAGCTCCCAGGTGCTGCTCATGCTGCTGGTCCTTTGGCGGAATCTGGAATAGCCAGGCTTCACTTTATAATGAGGTCTAAATTTTCTTCTCTTTCTCAAAACTATGGGTACAGGAAACCCTGGAACAAACCATCTCCTTCTCATTTTTCTAATGTTGGTAATAAAGAATGTTTTTTTTTATCCATTTGCTCACATCTCAGTATACCAGAACATCCATTTGGGGGCTTTGCTCATCTGGGTGGCAGAGAGCTCTGCAGATGCCTTGGAGCCATGGAAATTCCAGGGTCTCCTGGTTTTGCTTCTTGTTGGTTTATGTTATTGTTTTCTTCTTCCTGACTTCATGGCCCAGCACTTTGTAAATTGGTGAAGCTGTTCTGTAAGGCTCACAGCGATGCTTCCTGAGGCCTTTTTGACGAGGCCCAGAAAGCCTATATAACAGCCAGTGAACTGTTGAAATAAGAGGTTACTGTGTAAATAAAACACTTCATCTCTTTGCATTTCATTATGTCAGAACAATGTATAAATCTGTCATATTATATCACAATATTAAACTAGGAATGTTCACTCTCTGACTGGGGATTAAACTCATCCTCAAATCATTCTGAAGGCTTGGATTCAGTGAGCACGTTCATTGAAGACTCTCTAGACCCCAAGACCAAGGTAATAATTTCCTGCACCATCAAATATGTGAGAGACCCTGGCGACATCCTATAACCGTCCTAAAATTTCAGATCAAAGGGAGGTTCTCAAACAATAGAAGCAATTCCCTGCAATCTTCCTCTGCTTTTCTACAGACCAGGTTATCTGATCAAACTTCTCTCAGAGTAGATAAGCTCCCATAAAATGAGTAATAAATGGCATCCATTTAGCAAGTGGGAGGAGAAGAGAACAGTTTTACAGATGAATTCAAAGATAAAAGCTCCATTTTTAAGGCACTGAGAGGGAGTGAATTATTAAACCAGTTAGAGATTTAGAGATGGAAAAATGAGGATTTCCATTTACTGGCTATGCCTTTCTCATATTTTAATGAAAGATTGAATTTTACTAAAAGAAATATTACCATGCAGAGAAAAAAAGGAAATGATGGTAGGGAAAGGAAAATATCATCCTTGATTTGGGTTGATTGTGTTGATGATTAGATAATACCTCTTCTAAATCTGAAATTCTATGGTGTTAGGGAAGATTTTGCAAAACTACTTCTTAAGTATATGAGTGAGTGCCATGTGGATTTAATTGGGTCATGATATCTGGAGAAGACAAACACGTGTAGTTGGCCATCTCTATCCAGCCTTCCTATACTCTACTCAGCCAAATCCTTCCATCCCTTCAGGACCCAGCTCAGGTCAGTGCCTTCCATGAAAATCTCCCAGCCCACTCTGTCCACAAAGCTCACCTTCCAGAACAGACAGTATTCATTCATGTACACCCCCATGTTCTAATGTGTGTTGACACTTAATCCAATATTACCATTTATTGTAGACTACTTGAGGGCAGTCACTCTATTGTGTTCATCTTCTTATTCCACTGTGCCTGGAGGGACAGCTGGGTCCACCGTTGACATCCATTAACAAAGTTGTTGGATTGCCTTTCATCCAAATGCTTATAGGACCTTTCAGCTGTTTGGGGAGTCCTTGTCTAGAATCCAGACTGCACCCTTGTCCTTGGATAGGTCTCTTATAAAATATCTTGTTCACTCAGATTAAAGAGCAATTGGAGGAGAAAATGTTGTTTATGGACAAGTCTACTATTATATTTTAGGCCCTTGTAATTATGTTTCATAGACTATATAGAGCAAAACCAAGGTATGTTTATGTAGGAAAGTGGGAATGAGTTGTGCCGCTGATTCTAAGCAGCAGAATAGACTTCCCCATCTTCCATCTCTCTGCTTTTTCTTCTTTCTCTCACTCCCTCTCTTGCATTCTCTCTCCTGCTTTCCCTTCCTTCCTGATACATATCCCCAAGGTTCTAATGAAGAAATAAAATATGAAAAACATAGTAGATAAAAATACTCTGAAGACTACTATTTCAAATGACAGAGAAAGGATGTTTGTGTTATACTATTTGTGACATTAAGCATTTTAATGAAAATTAAGAGCAATTTGAGATATAGGGAGCATGAGACAGAGATTAAGAAAGTTTGATTAGAATGAAGTTAAAGTAAATATTAAAGCAAGGATTGAAGGACTACTCTTCTACCCATTTGCTTAACGCAGCAAGAAATTGATGAAAAAAGACAAAAACAAGTAAGAACAGAAACAATGAGTTGACAGAAAAAACTGAGATGTAAATAAAACTTTTACAAAAGAGTAAGTAGAGGGGAAATGTCAGATACAGCAATGATCAAAGGGATGGGTGATGGATCCTGTCTTAAGAAAGAAAAACTTGTAAGGAATGGGAAAAGTCAGACAGAGGATAGAATATGTTTTATCTTCAGACATATTAGACCTTCATAAAGGTTGAGGGAGAAGGATGTTCTCCTGGTGCAGAAGGACAGGGAGAGAGTAAATAAAAACTAAAGGAGCTCTGTTTCTGTTGGGTTCTAATGATAAATAAGTATACTTTGAATGTTCCCCAAATTCCAGGATAATAGAGAAGTTGAATAATACTTTCAATATGCTACAATTTTTCCAAAAGTACTCTTGCAGAAGCTAAGAAACATTTTCAGAATCCAAGTTCACATAATTAAAGTAAACATTTGGCAAATAAGACTAGTTGAATGATGTTGATAAAATAAAAGACAGCAATATTTTCTCTGATTTATCAATAATAAGTAAAATATAAAAGCACATATTTAAAAATTTCATTTGGGCATGCTTTCTATAAACTTAAACAGCTGTAGTGGTTGGTTATGAAAGATTTGAACTGTATACAACTAAATTGAATCATGATTTTGACAAACATTTTATTTTAATAAGAATAATGTTTTATAGTATGTCAGCTTGAAGATAATTTCCAAGATCTTTAGAAAACTTACCAATAAAAATGCAAATACCAAGTTGAAAAATGGGCAAAGGATCTGAATAGACATTTCTCCAAGGAAGCTATACAAATATCCAATAAGTACATAAAAAAAGATGCCCAACCTCATTAGTCATTAGGGAATTGCAAATCAAAACCAAAATGAGATCCCGCCTTACTCACACTAGGATAGCCGCCATCAAAGACAGACGATGACGAGTGTGGGCAAGCATGGAGAGAGCCCTCGGGTGCTGCTGGTATGAATGCAAAATAATGCAATGGCTGTGGACGAGTTTTGTAGTTTTTAAAAATTAAATACAGAGTTGCCATATGATCCAGAAATTCCACTCCTCCTAGGCTCTAGTCAAGAAAGTTCAATCATATTTTTATACCAAAACTTGTACACAAATGTTCATAGCAACATTATTCATAATAGCCAAAAAGTAGAAACAAACCAAGTGTCCACCAACTGATGAATTCGTAAACAAAATGTGGTGTATGCACACAATGGAATGTTATTTGTCCATAAAAAGGAAGGAAATACTGATATTTGCTGCAGCATGGAGGAACCTTAAAACCGTTATGCTAAGTAAAAGGAGCCAGACACATATGGCCACATATGTGATTATGTTTGTGTGAAATGTCCAGAAGAGGTGCAATGTACCAACATAAAGCACATCATTAGTTGCCAAAAATGGAGAAAGGGGAAATTGGGGAGTGAATGCTCATGGGTATTAGGTTTTCTTTCAGAGATGAGGAAACTGTTCTGGAACTGGATAATGGTGATAATTACACAATATTGTGACTATACTAAAAACCACTCAAATGTACATGCAACATGGTGAATTTGATAGTATGTGAATTATGTATCAATTTGAAAAAAGATCTTTAGGGAACTTGAGACCTTAGACTGATTAAATTAATTAATGGTTAATCAATGGATACCTAAATTATTTCTAAGATAGAACATGGCACATGGTTACTAAGTATAATTTATGTTC